AATGCTGTTGATGTTTTTGCAGGCAACTCGGGTATGTGGCAGCAGACCAGTCGTCTGGCGAACAAAAGTTATTCCAAAGAGATTCTACACCCGATGCTGTAAGTAATACTCTCCTCCTTTTACGACTGCGTCCTCCTTCTTCCTGCTCCTCTTGCTCCTACTCCCCTTTTTCCTCAACTTTCGTTTCTTCCTCCTCCAACCCCTCCTTCTCTTCTTCCTTCTCTTGCTCTTCTTCTTCCTCCTCCTTCTCCTTCCCCTTCTCTTTCTCCTCCTCGTCCTTCTCACCTACACTTCTGTGTTCATAAAGATTCCAGCATAAAGATCTGGTGATGGGGCCATCATTATAGATCTTTCATTGTGGGTGTCATTACGATATTGTTTTCATCAACGCTTATCCGCAACACGTTGTTGAGAAATCGTCGTAAAGTGTTCATGCTGCCATGTTGAGTTTGACAAGTGGCATCCTGCATTAATAATCATGACTGCTGGTATAGTGTTCTCATGGTCATGCGCATTGATGTGCTGACTTGCAATCGCTTTGCACTACATATCGCATGAAGCAAAGATCTATGCCCGTCTGGTTAATCGAGACTATGCAGGCGATGCTGCGGTAACCGTGGTTACGCGCCTGCGCTCGGCAATTTATTCGGCAACACTTTCATATACTTGCACCGTGCTAATCTTGACGGTGAATCTTAGTTTCCCAATGATGATTTCTCTGTATCGCTTTTATTTGCTGCTGCACTGGTTTCCAACGAACACTATAAATCTGTTAACTTGTGAACGCGGTAAGTTTTACTGGAGTATTATTAGCTGTTGATGATTTATATCGGTCTATTGTAAAGCTATAATTTTACTTGTACGAATTGTGTGTATATTTTTGAGTGGACTTGATATTAAAATGAAGCAGTATACTAAAAGTCAGCAGTAGTTTCAAGTTGTTCATCTTCGTTTTTGTAGGTGTTTCAAAAGCGAACTGAGGAGCTTGGTAAAGCCATGGAAGCAACGAAAAAGAGACTGAAATCTGTACGTGGTATTCATTGAAACACTCTAATATGCATTTCCATTCAACTAAACAGATTGCAGGGCCACGAGCACTTTTAGGAGTTCCTGAAATCCCTTAGCTCTCATGTTATTAATTACACTCTACAAATTAACCCTATGTATAATTTTACTGTCCGACTCTAATATTTAGTATTATCGATTATCTCTTTGAAATGTGTTTGCACTTGCTGTAGAGTTTATCAGAGTTTATTCTCCCATCGTTTATCGACCCTGTACACACATTTCTTTCCTTGCTCCCCACAGCTCGGCTGGAGGGGCAGCGAGAAGGATCTTTCTGAGCAGACGATACCGGAGAAGGAGAGGGACGGTGGGTACGAGCGAGAAACGCCGTCACCGCCCACCAAGGACACGACTGCGGACACGGGTGAGTAGGTGCTGCCCTCTGATGGAGCATCGCGTAGGCCTGTGCAAGCCGGTCTTACGATTCGCTGCTCGTCGACTGCATGCGTCAGCCCCTGATCTCGAGGGTCTCATGACATACTTATCTTGCACGCCCACACCTACACCTACAGCCTAGCCCCAGCCCACCCAAGAGATGCTACATTTGTGGATTTTACCGGAAATCCGTATTTTTTTTATGTAAAAATTTCCGGATCAAAAAATCTGAAAATCTGCTATTATTTATATTGAAAAATCCTGAAAATCAGACCCAAAATAAGTTCTTTTTCAGAAAATGGTGTTCCAGGTTGACGCGCTCCGCTCGCTTTAATTGAATTAGTCACTACTTAATAGTTCCGGATTTTTTTGAACCACCCTGTAGCATCTCTGCCACTCCAAGCCCACCTTACAGGTATAGACCGCTAGGTCAGTGCCCGCTTTTTTGTACTGTAATTTGTTGTTGTACGCTCGTCGTCCAGTGATGTTAAAGTCACGGCTCGACCTTTGCGACCGCGGTGGAGCCTTTGCAGTTGTAGCATGACCTTGGGGAGTTGCGGCACTACCGTCACTGTCACGGTGGGACCTTTGCTGTCACAGCATGACCTTTGCGGTCACATCACGACCTTTGCGGTGACCGCGTGACCGTGGCGGTTGTGTCAAACAGCGTGACGTTTTCATTGTAGACCTCACCCGCACCAAGTCCCTACCGGACGTGTCGACGATCGGCCACCACCGCCGGCGCCCCCTGCCGACGACGCACGGCGACGGCGAGAGCGCATACGTGCCTGGTAAAGCAACGACGCGGCGCACTAACAAACCTGCAAACTTGCGCTTAGGTATCTAGCTTTCTCGGGCCTCGTAGCTACAAGTGGCTCCACCTGTTTGCTGGGAATGGTGGCGACTGCCGGCGTAGCGCCGCCGCCGCTTCTGTGACTAACATGTTGTGGTAGTGTAGCTTGTGCACCGGCCACCGCGCGGTGGCAGAAGGTAGTGGTAGTATGCGTTGTTTTAGTGTGGTTGTAGGCTGTAGCGTCACGATACTAATCAAAATACGGCCACCGTACGAGTTTAGCAGAATTCACGGGTTTAGCAGAATTCACGAGAAATTGCCACGTTGTTTCTATTGAGAATGTTTCTGTGTGAGAGACCGTGGTGGGACTGCCGAGTCTTTGGACGATGACACGTTCGTTTGATGGTCAGTTCGTTTACGGATTTGTCGAGTGTGCTAAAAATACAATTTACAAAAAATTGGATTGTATAACTTTCCTAAAAACAATTTACTCTGCAATTGTTGTTCAGGCTTGAGGTTGTTTAGAGGCAGCTGCCAGGGTTAGCTCTAGTTACTACATCTTTCATTGCACAGTGATCACTTTAATAAACTAAGAGTTCCCACCAGGCCATGCCGTTTTTAAATTTATATTGTTTTTACTAATTGTGTGTGCGTGCGTGCGTGCGTGCGTGCGTGCGTGCGTGCGTGCGTGCGTGCATACGATCTGCGTACGATCGTAGTCTAACATTATAGTGAACAGCATTGGGGCCGTTTTATCTTCTGTGGTGATGGTAATAATAGCACGTCTCTCTGTATCCGCTGTAGATGTATACCATGTGCTATTTAAGAATAGCCCCTCGAAATTGGTATTATTGGTAATAGATCACTCATTAATTTTAAATTAAATTTATAATAATTCCCTTCATGGCTGATTGCTCTTATATTTATCAGCTTATTGCTCTTTTAATGCGTCACGTGCACACACACACATATAATATATATATATATATATATATATGTGTATATATACATAGATGTATGTCAATTTATTCATTATCCTATTGAAATGGTAATTGAAAATCTTATTTCCGATTAAAAGTTTATTTACTTTCCGTTAAACGTGTGTGTTTCTTGTTGGTGCACTTATTCTCTAATTCCCCATCAAAGACCCCCCCTCCTCCCCGCCCTAACCACCGCAGACATCAAGCTAGATGCCCAGAGCCGTCGATGTTTTTTCAGTGCGCCGTCAACGGCAAGGAGACATGCGCCGCCCTACCACCAGCCATGACAAGCTGAACGCATGGGAGGTCAGGGGTTCATGCGGGGGCATCGCGTTTTCAAGGTCGCGTCGTAACGCGCAGGGCACGGCGAGCTCCCAGGCGAAGATCAACGCGCAGCCGGTACGTAATCCTGGTGCTCGCCATCTTAGATTTCTTTTGTTTAAACGAGAGGCAGGTTTAATACTACTGGGTCGGTTCAGGCCAATCTACATTTCTGCGGCTGTGTCGAAGAAAGGCCTAGGGCCTCGCTGTTAGAAATAAAATTGGCGCCCTAACGTTTGGTCTTGATATTTTGGAACATTGTGTTTCCTGTGGCCGGCACCTCTAATCAGTCTAAGTACTCTTGCATATGAAACTTTTGTAACCTTTACCCACATTTCTTTCCGATGGTCCTACAAGAAAAGTTAGTGTGAAGACTAAAGTTAAGACTAATTTTGTTTCTGACAAACAAGGACCGCCATCGGTTTTAAACTGCCAGACTTTTTTTGTGGAGCCATTCGTTATTCTGTTGTTTTCAGTCGAAAATGCTCGTGAAATTTGAGGCTGCATCGCCTGCTCCCAAACCCTATTCGTTTTTCGTGTCGGCAGATCAATCACAAAAATGATATGCAATGCAATACCTGGCATGCTTATTATGCATATTGTCAATTCTGTGGATGCATCCTCCTCTGTCCTTTCGTACCTACAGCGACATTAACCGTCGCCACTGTGATCGTTTACGCACGCTGCTGATTGTTTTTCTTCGCGCACATTCGATCACGAAATCTAAGCGCAACTCTGCTACAGACCGCGAGAAATCTGTGATGCATACTCTCCCTTCCTTCCTGCCCCCGCATACCTACAGCCCCACACAATCCTGTGATGCTTACTCCTCCTCCCTTCCTACTCCTCCCCGCATACCGTACAGCCACACAAATCTGTGATGGCTCACTCCTCTCCTCTCTCCTCCCCCGCATACCTACAGCCAATCACAAATCTGTGATGCCAACTCCTCCTCCTCTCCTGTCCCGCAATACCTTAGCCAGCCACCATCTGATGCAATACTCCTCCTCCTCCTCTCCTGCCCGCATACATACAGGCCACACAATCTGTGATGCATACTCCTCCTGCTCTCCTGCCCGCATCACCTACAGCCCCACAATCTGTGATGGCCGTACCCTCTCTCTGCCCCCGCAATACCTACAGCCACACCAATGCCTGTGATGCATACTCTCCTCCTCTTCCCTAGCCCGCACACCTACAGCCCACACAATCTGTGACTGCATCTGCCTCCCTCCTTCCTCTCCTGCCCGCCGATACCACAGAACACAATCTGTGATGCGATACTCCTCTCCTCCTTTCCTGCCCTGGGCATACCTTACAGCCACACAACTGTTGATGCAAATACTCCTCCTGCCTCCCTCCCTGCCCCGCATACCTACAGCCAACACAATCTGTGATGCATACTCCCTCACTCTCCTCTCCTGCCCCGCGCATACCAATACAGCAACACAATCTGTTTGATGCATACTCCCTCCTCCTCCTTTCCTCTGCCCTGCATACTACAGCCACACAATCTGTGATGCATACCCTTCCCTCTCCTGCCCCGCATACTACAGCCACACAATCTGTGATGCCGTACTCCTCTCCTGCCCCCGAATACTACAGCCACACAGATCTGTGATGCAATACTCCTCCTCCTCTCTGCCCCGCACACCTACAGGCCAACACAATCTGTGTGATGCATACTTGCCTCCTCCTTCCTTCGTTTGCGGCCCCCGCATACCTACGCAACACAATCTGTGATGCATACTCTCCTCCCTGCCTCTCCTGCCCTTGCCAATACCTACAGCCACACAATCTGTGATGCATACTCGCTCCTCCTCCGCTCTCTGTACCGCATACCTACAGCACACAAATCTGTGATGCATACTCCTCCTCCTCCTCCTGGCCCCGCAATACTATCAGCCACATTAACCGTCGCCCCTCCGCATAAGCTACGCACGAGCTAGCTCACATCCGAACATTTTCTTCCGCAGATCGATCACAAATCTGAACCAGCCTGCCACGGATGGCAAAAAGTCGTCGTCGTCGTCGTCGGACGCGGCTCCCGGCAGCGCGTTTGCGCGCTACAAGCGTCTCAGCTACATGATGGCGCGCTCCACGCCCAACCTCGCCTCCGCATCCTCCTCGTCCTCTTACGACGAGAAACCCTCAGCCGCCGTCGCCGCCGTCGCCGCGACGACGGCAGCAGAGCGGAAGCCGGCGCAGACGAAGCTGGTGCGACGCGCGTCGATGTCGTCGTCGGACGCCGGGAAGTCGCCGAGCGGCGACCAATCCGTGGCGCCCTCTGGCGGCAACGAGCAGCGCGTGCGAGCGATGCTCAACAAGCAGCCGCCGTTCGACACGGTTGCCGCGGCGACGTCGCCGCTAGGCGAGTCGTCGTCGCCGACGAGGGGCCGTCCCGTCGTGCCGCCGCGCAAGAAGAACGTGTTCTCGCCGGGGGAACGGTCCCCGATTGAGCTTCCCGTCAAGGACATGTCGCCGAGCCCCGTGCGAAAGGTCGCCGAGGTCACGGGTCGCCCCCAGAGCGCGCCGGTGACGCCGATGGAGAAGCGACTTCCCGAGCGGCCGAACCGTCAGCACGAGATCTCGCCCAGAGATCCGAAAGGTGGGAGGGGGCTTCTTTTGTGACGAGGTTTGCACGGGGGAAGGGGGCATTTTTGGGGGGGGAGAGGGAGAGGAGCTCTTTGAGGCTTCAGGGAGGGATCACGGTCGCCGTGTCGCACACGACCAACGCTGTATGCGATGAATCGGGGGGGGGGGGGGGAGGTTGTCAGTAAATGTTAATCAATTTGGGAGAAGCAAGGGGGCCTATTCTTAAGGGAGGGAGAGAGACTGCGAGAGAGACAGAGAGAGAGAGAGAGAAGGAGAGAGAGAGAGAGGAATCGTGATCCATGCGTCACACACAGCATGTCAGTCTCGTGTCAGACAGAGGAGCAAGCAGCGTGTGCAGAGGATCGCGTGGCCAGTTGTCAGGAAATGCCAGCTATGATGTGAGCGGGCGTTGCCGTGCCTCTTGTGCAACACTCGTGTGGAAAACCTTGGCTCTTCGCTCCCGTGCGGAAAACTTCCGACGTCCGATAATATATATTAGACTTACTCAGTTCTAACCATTCGTAATATTTCTGAAAATTATTTCTTGGCCCTTTGCATGCAATATCCATTCAGCGACTACATTTCGGACGGCTACAAATAGAGCCTAGTACTTTACTACAAATGGAGTGTCAGTCAGTCGTTCTATCATTGCATGCATTAATAGTAAAGCGGTAACGCGCCCTTTGGAAACAATTTAAGCTTCTCGTTTTTGCGGTGCGCCTTGTCAAAAAATTCAAACTGATCGATAACACATGCGAATTGTTGTTTCAGCTGAGACGGTCGAGTCGTGTGTGAAGGAACTTCACAGAGCTGTGTCCGAAGCTACTGACATGTTCCACAAGGTAACATCAAGTGCTAACTATTGTTGTCATTATCATTATTGTTACTATTACTATTATTATTATTATTATTATTATTATTCTTATATAATGTCATCATCCATTTATTATTATTATATTCATTATTATGTTATCATCATCATTCATCAATGGTCATTATCATTATTATTACTACTACTACTATTATTTTTGTTGGCGGCGGTGGCCCCGCCCCCTCGTATTTGTTATTTTTTGCGGTGCGTGTTGAATCAGTTGTGTCCTTTATTGCGACAATATCAAATAAGCCAGCCAGAAGTCACACGGACACTCGATGATGCATTTATTTTAAAAAAAGGCGTGCATGCTATTTTCATGCATGTACAGTGATGAATTGTTAGCGCTTGCGACAAGTTGCTAGAAATTTTGCAAGCGAACGATACCAACACTGAACACTGGTGTGACGTATGTGTTGTTTGCCCACCAGGTGGCGCAGTCGGAGACACTATCGCGGGACCAACAGGTCGGTCAGATGAGGCAGCTAGTGGAGGCCGTTCCCAGCAGACTCACGACATGGGTTGCAGGTTATGCACAGCGGTCGCTCGTGGTAGTTTCGTAGGTCCATCTCAATATTTATGTTCCTCCGCCGTAAATTCACACGCATGAGAAAATAATAAAAATAAAAAAATGAATAGAATAGACAATATAAGATAAAATAAAACAATATAAAATGTAATCAAAAAAAATAAATATGATAAATGAACCGAGTGTAACAGTAGCCAATGGATAATAGAAAACGCCTGTCCTCCATTTCACCATGTTTGTTGTCTTTTACTGCTGTCGTTAGATCCTTAACTCGCACGTGTTGTTCCTAGTCCATGTCACAGCACATAGAGACACTGTCCATCAAATCACCATCCATCACTATGTACTATGTAATGCTCGTAGATCAAAACTCGCACGTGACTGTGTTCCGTAGTCCATGTCTGCACCACATAGAGACCACTGTTCCTATCAATCACCATCCATCACTATGCTCACTATGTAATGTCGTAGATCCTAACTCGTGTGTGTTCCTAGTCCATGTCGCAGCACATAGAGACACTGTCCATCAATCACCATCCGTCACTATGCTCACTATGTAATGTCGTAGATCCTAACTCGTGTGTCTCGCCTGTGTTGCAGGTGCGCGTCTCAGCACATAGAGACGCTGCCGATCGTCGAGCTGAACTCTCTGCGCGCGACGCTCGCGCAGCAGGCCAGCGATCCGAACTCCAGCGTTACTCTGCTGCAGCAGTACAATGAGCTGCTCTTCAACCTGCTCATGCACAAGATGTCCGGCAAGATGTACGCCGCCTCGTCCGTGTAGCCGTGGTGGCGGCGGCGGCAGCGGCAGAGGGAACCCGCGCGTTCCAGACGGTTCGACGCTGCACTGAAGAGACTCCTGCGCCGCGTTGTCCGCGTGGCGTGACGGCGGCGGCAGTGGGAACTCGCGCGTTTGTTGACGGTTTGACGCTGCGCTAAATAGATGTGTGCGCCGCGTTGTCCGCGAAGCCATGAAGCGGCAACATCAATGGCGGCGATGGCGGTAGTGGTGGGAACCTGCGCGTTTGTCGATGGTTCGGCACTGCGCTAAAGAGATGCCTGCACCGCAGCCTCTGCGTAGCGTACGGCAGAGAAACCGGCAGCTGCGGCGATAACGCACGCGCGTTCGCAGCGGTACGACGCGGCATTAACAAGATGTCCGCTCTCGTCCTCGGTGTAGTGGTGGCAGCGGCGGAGAAACCGGCAGTTGCGGTGGTGACTCGCGCGCGTTCGCAGCGGTACGACGTGGCATTGACAAGATGTCCGCGACTTCCTAGGTGCCCCGCGGCTGCCTAGGTAACCCGCGGCTGCCTTGCGCGCGACGGTGACAAGACGCACACTGTTAATGGTACGACGCGTCATTTCGTGCGCGAGCATTCTGCGCGTTACGTTCCGTCCGCGAGGAACGTTTATGCCTTCGCGTGTTCGTGCACGACCGGCACTTGTTTGTGTGTTTCGGCGGCAGCAGGTGGCGTGACAGGTCGAGGGAGTCTTGGCGTCTCTGTCCGAGCGAGATTCTGCTTGTGGCGGCACGTGCGGCAAGGGGGGGGGGGGCTGCGTCGAGTTACACACAGCTATACAGAGGCAGCTTTCTTTTTCTTTTTTATCACGATTCTCAGCCGTCTTTGAGTGATGAGCGACGGTTGCCAATGTCACCACACCTTCGTGAGCGCATGCTTTTTGACTAGGTGTGGATAGTTTTCGTGCAGCTGAGAGGGAGAGGCGTCTTTTTGGGGGGGTGCATTTATTGCTGTGCTATTGTCCGACTGGGGCCAGAGTCACGGCGTGGCAGCTCTGTTGAATTGCATTCAAGTTATCAACCGTTCACTTACTAACGTTAACAACGATAATATTTACAAATATTAACGAACTGTTTTGTCCGATCGGAAGAAAATAACAGGTACATAATTCATTTGCAAAAACGTTTAAAACTGCAATGTAAATGCTATTCAGTTTATCTATTGTGTAATTTCGATTCTATATATGTAGCAATCCGACTGTATTCAGAGTGCGTAACCGTTAACTAGCGCTGCTGTGTTTAATTGTAGGCATTGCTTTCTGCATAAAAACATTGCCACATTGCAACAACGCATGCATCTCTGAATGTTTCCGCCTCTACCAATGTGATACAAATTCAGTCCGGCCCGTGAGAGCGAAATCAAAATGCGAGTAACAGACTTGCGTATTTTAAGGCTAGCACTTTTATACTTGTTTTTCTAACGAGAGGAGAGCGTGTATTTCGGGGGTTGTGATCGCGCTGGGCTCTGCACTACGGGTTGCACCCAGGCGGCCATCTTGCCACTATTTATCACGTAGTCTGCGTGGCAATCGACGTAGCGGCTGGACGTTGGTGGTGTAGATACAGTCCTGAGCTTTACGGCGCTGTATACGCCGATGATAATTAACACGGGCGGACGAGCGATGGTACACTGCTCGCAGTTATCACTGCGTGAGAGAGAGAGAGAGAGAGAGAGAGAGAGGGAGGGAGAGAGAGAGAGAGAGAGAGAGAGACAGGGAGGGAGAGAGAGAGAGAGAGAGAGAGAGGG